TAATAATGATAATAATAATAATGATAATAATAATGATAATAATAATAATAATAATAATAATTTATCATCATCATCATCATCATCATCATCATCATCATCATCATCATCATCATCATAGTAATAATAATAATAATAATAAAAATAATAGTAATAGTAATAATAATAATAATAATAATAATAATAATAATAATAATAATAATAATAATAATAATAATAATGATAGTAATAATAACAATAATAATAATAATGATAATAATGATAATATTAATAATTATTATTATAATAATAATAATAATAATAATAATAATAATAATAATAATAATAATAATGATAATAATAATAATAATAATAATAATAATAATAATAATAATAACTCACATAAAAAAAACTTGAAGTAATTTAAGCCGTAAAAATCTTGCGGGAAGGGGATATACGAGTATGAATTAGATCTTAACTCAAACACGAACTCTCCAAGACACCCTATACAACTGTTCAGTTCATGGTGAGGGACAGAGCCCACATAATAATTCTGCTCGTAAACACGTAAACATTCAGATTTTCTTGGCAATTAGTTAGAATCTTTGTTATTGGGACGGTATTTGAGTTAATCAATGCCTCGGTTAATCGAACAGTAGAATTGCTTGTTTAATGATCAGTGAAGCATGAAACGAGATAACAATCATTTACGGATTCAGTTCTATCTATCTATCTATCTATCTATCTATCTATCTATCTATCTATCTATCTATCTATCTATCTATCTATCTATCTATCTATCTATCTATCTATCTATCTATCTATCTATCTATCTATCTATCTATCTATCTATCTATCTATCTATCTATCTATCTATCTATCTATCTATCTATCTCTCTCTCTCTCTCTCTCTCTCTCTCTCTTCATTGATCAATTAACCCATCAATTAATTCCGCATTGAAGCGCCCAGTCAATCATAAACTAATGATGAAACCAGCAAGCAAACCAGTCAATGAATTAGTGTAATCAAAAATAGAGAGCAAACAAACAATCACCCGTCCCTCCATTCTTTTATTTCGCCAATCGATTTATAGATCGTTCACGTACTTCGAACTGTAAATCGATCTATCTTTCCGTCAAACAACCACCCCTTTGATGAATATATATATAAAATATATATACACGTAAAAATATTTCAATCAGACAGTTAGTTAGTAATCGGAATAGCCACGAGAGTCAGTCCATAAACTCGCAAAACTAGTACTGGCGAGTTTTAACTTGTCTCTAAAGTAAAAGGGTATTAAACATATAAAAAGAAAGGAAATCGTGTAGCATCAGCTTAAGGCAGCCGAAATTTGTATAAAATAGAGAAAACCTGGTTTTTCTCTCTCACATAATTCTTGGCCGACCCCTCCCCCAACTCGACCTCCAACGTCCTCACTCCAAAAGAGATTAGTGAAACTGAATATTATTACTACTTTTGTTTTATTGCATGCATAATATTATATTCATATAACTTACCCATCGAATGATTTAATGAAGTCAACCTGAAATTATAAAAAGAGGAAGGCGTATTTATGTGTTCAAAAAGCACATAGGGATAGGTGTGTGTGTGTGTGTGTGTGGGGGGGGGGGGGAAGGTTAATTTAAACTTTGTTTTGTTTGTTTTTTGGGGTGGGGGAGGAAGGGGTGGGGGAGGGGGGGGGGGTTTGCCTATTCCCGGGGAAGTGGACAAGCTCACACATATATCTTTTGTTCCATGTTTGTACTTGTGTGTGACATAATATACTTTGGTGTAGCGTCTCTGCATTCTTTCCATTATTTCTACATTCTTTTTTGTTTTTACTTTCGCCTTTGGCCAGATGGTCTTCGAGATGTTTTTATTGCTATCTAGAGCGGGATTTGTTGTTACTTAACCCAGTAAGAAAATGATATTTTGCTGCATGTACTGGGGTATCGGGAAGAGTACATTTACATTAACAATATTTTCTTCGAAGCTCACGGACCATGGGGCCATTCTCTAGGAAATAGTATATTTGTAAAACTTTTCATAATAACCCCGTCCTTTTAACACGG